ATTCTAACTGCTCGAAGCCCATTACAGTCTTGTCCCATTACAAGGCATTACATAAACATCATGACCATGACTTCTCAGCGAACGCTGGAACGAAGGGCGACTGTCCTCATTAAACGTTAAAAATAGTCGGTGGTTATTATAAGACATTTATTAATACTGAAAACAAATCGACCCAAGAAAGCAAAGGCTGTAATCATTTTTCTCTCTCTTTCTCGCTAATGGAGTTATGTTATACGAGCAAATTTCTTTACCAGTTCCCGGTGTGATATGGATTTCTTTTTGGATCCCCTTAATGAACCGTTTCCGTTTCTTATGCTCAAGGTTTGTGGTAGGAAGACCTTACATTGCTCCCCTATAATCAGTCAGTACAAATATAGCCTGGGTCACTCACAGGGTAATCATACCCCTAGCCGCCCCGTTTAAACAAGCCAACTATCAGTCACACTTTGCTATAACAATCCTCCCTGTTTTGCCTAACAGCAACTAACATAACTGCCCTTTGCCAAGAACACACTTGTATTCCAAGGCAACAGCACTTAAGGCCCCAACTGAGATGTAACTCTTACGTGGGGTGTTTGAGACTCCACGATGCCCAGTAACTATGTGGTGGGTTATTCACGATGAGTTAACTCTTGACTGTCATTCAATTAACATGACCGATATCCTCTCTACAATGGACGTTGCTGAGCGCCCACTGACAGGACACAGGGAGTTGGCAAAGTCATGCTGGTCAGCAACTTCCCCTAGTTTAAGCTCATCTTAAAATTATGCCATTGTGAATTGGCGCAGAATTGTGGAAGGTTCTTCAATTCAGTCTTAATTCCGAAGCCGTTCTCCCACAGTTCTTACACAGAGGTTACTAATCAGTCACAGCGCACCTCCCCGCCTCTCTTCACCACCTGCTGAAGAACAACAGCCTTGTGTTCCAGCTCCCTCTGCAAGTTAGTCTGCGTAGAATGGCACAGGTTCCCAATTAGAAGCCATTCATTCCATGCGTCAAACAACACATCACTGATAACATTCCGCCCACAGAACACAGTCACTCCATTTTACCATATGCCCTGTGAAGCGCCGTAACAACGTGATAAGACGCTGGATCAAATGCAAAGATTATTATCGTCACGGACTAGCTTTCCTGTCCATAAACTACAGCTACTCCCAGACTCTGCCCCCGAATCCACTCCTGTACTAGACTCGGCCCAGCCAACAATCCCGTCCTCACCAGGCTCCCAACAGATGGATTCATGGGTACCACACCCTCGCCTATAGAGACCATCACATCCCAGCATCTCCCCCATCTCCATGATCTTCATCTACCCCACTCCTCCTTTCCACCTTGGGATCTGCTCTGCGTCCCTTGTCCCCTCCCCGCCCCGCTGTGTCAAGCAAGTAACTTGAGACGTACGTAAGGGAAAACGGAACAAATGAGTATACAAAATAGTCACTTCACAGTATATTCTGTGAAGAGCTTTGAGACGTCCCGAAGATGTGATGAACCACTGTATCAAATGTGAGATTATTATTATCATTACTATATACTGGAAAAAAGTTGGGATTTGACAGTAACTTGATGTTGAGACCAATGGATACTTGGAGCAAAACAGGAAACTCGAGAAATTGCTTTAATTTCCCCAAAATATCTAGAGTGGGGGGGGCGACAGAGAAAGTGGGGAAACTCTGCCATATCGAGCAATGCAGCACACTGAAGGAAAGGAAAAGATAATAGATATTGCAAGAATGCAATGCATCTAAAGTCTACACGTAAACCTCAGAACATGTAGAGGCAGCAGGAGTCAGGTTCTGTGGTTCTGATTCTATTCTAACCCTTAAAGGATTAAAACAAAAGTAGAATAAACTCATGAGATAGGCACTCATGAGGCACCTTTTGTGGATGTTTTTCTTTTCTGATGCCCTCCAACACTCCCCGCCCCACCTCCCAGCTAAAATTGCTTGTTCACTTCTTGGCTGTGTGCGGGTCCTTGCTGTGTACAAAATGGCCACTCAGTTTGCCTACAAAACCCAGTCACTACACTTCATAGCAGTCACTACAGTCACAACACTTTTATAGTGGGTCCTGTAAAGCTCTTCGAGACGTCCTCCTGACGTGAAAGGCACGGAGTCGAAGTGAGGAGTTATTTAACGAGACAGGGTAAGGCTAAGTGGGCCAGGTTCTGACGGGCGAGGGAGGCATCTCTGTGTACCTTTATGTGACTGGCCTCCGCCAGCTTCCTCACAGCCTCCTCCAGCTTCGCCTGGTGCTGCTGCAGCATGCGGTCCTTCTGTCCCAACTCTCTCTGCAAAGGAAGAACAGAGCAGGTCACACATCACCCACGCTGCGGCGAGAGGACAGGAGGGGATTGGGGGACGGACGAGGGGAAAGATTTACTATGGGCCCTCAAGACTATCTGAAGACTGTCTACACTCTGCCTCACCCCCCCCACCACACCCCCAACATTGTTTTATTTTCCAGTCTAAAGTTAGACACCCCTAGCATCTCCCCATCTCCGTGATCTACACTACACTTCTCCGCTCCCCCACTCCAACATGGGGTGGGGGCTTGAGGGTGGGGTGGTTTGGGTGAGGTTTCAACCAGAGGGAGTTTATTAAAACTCTTTACTTTAAATTCTCCCAGCAGTCTGCTCCGCTCCTCAATCTTCCTCTGTAGATCGAGCTGCCGGCAAATAAGGAAAAAAAAGACATTTACTAAAAAAAACTTAACCGTCACAAAAAACACAAATGTTGATTCTGTTCTGATAAAAGTTAAATATTGCGCCAACACCTCCCCCCCATCCCAACCCTCCTCCCCTCACCCCCTCTCCATCCTCCCCCACCTCACACCATAAAAGAGTTCACCTATAAACTTCGAGTTGATAAACCTACAAAAATGTCCGACAGACAAATGCGTGAGTCACTGCACAGACTGTGCACTGCACACTATAGCCGCCACTTTCTGTGCAGGTAAATTATACACAGGGATACGGGGCCAAGGTGGGCAACTGGAGTTGAGTTACAGATTAACCCTGGCGGAACAGGCTTGAGGGGCTGAATGGCCTCCCCCTGTTCCTATGAAACTGGCGGTGGGTGTGAAGCAGCAAGTGTTGGCCGCGCATCTGTCATCCCACAAGCCTACCGAGCGAGCAATAAATGGGGCCGGTGCTTTATTGTTGGGAGGGAGGGAACGGACGGGGGTGGGGGACGGATGGAGGCGTTATAAACGGGTTAAACAAAGCGAGGTTCCTCACGTTCTGGCTGAACAGCTCGTCCTTGGCCATGCTCATGCGCAGTAACTCCTGCTTCAGCTGCAGGATGGAGCTTTCCTGCTGCACCATCCTCTGCTGCAAGGCATCCTGACAAACAAGATGGAGACACGAGGGCGGGTGGGAACGGGGCTCACGGAATGGCTTTGCTCGGACGTCGCCCACCACAAACTGTTCGCCTACAAGACACTCAGTCATGTGCTCTACCCAGTGTTTATGTGAAGCGCTTTGAGATGTCCTGATGTGAAAGGCACTGGATGGGTGGGAGGGGCACGGAGGAGGGGCACGGAGGGAGGGGCACGGAGGGAGGGGCACGGAGGGAGGGGCACGGAGGGAGGGGCACGGAGGGAGGGGGGGGAGCACGGAGGGAGGGGCACGGAGGGAGGGGCACGGAGGGAGGGGCACGGAGGGAGGGCACGGAGGGAGGGGCACGGAGGGAGGGGCACGGAGGGAGGGGCACGGAGGAGGGGCACGGAGGGAGGGGCACGGAGGGAGGGCACGGGAGGGAGGGGCACGGAGGGAGGGCACGGAGGAGGGGCACGGAGGGAGGGGCACGGAGGGAGGGGCACGGAGGGAGGGGCACGGAGGGAGGGGCACGGAGGGAGGGGCACGGAGGGAGGGCACGGAGGGAGGGGCACGGAGGGAGGGAGGGGCACGCGGAGGCTTGTTTGAAGGCTGACCCTGTTCTGACACAATGCTCCTTTACTTAGAGCAGAGTAATGCCTTGAGGTGTAGCTGTTGGCCACGCACAGTGGGGGTCTCAGCAGCGAGGGACACGTTGCTGGGAGAGGGGGACGTCATCACATCCTCACCTTTACTCCCTGGAGGTTCCGTGATTCTTGTTTGTATTTCAGGAGTTCTTTCCTGCAATTTTCAGAAAACAAAAAGTAATTAATTTTGCTATATAAAAAGAATTCCCCCCCCTCTCCCCACCACCAGCCCCCCCACCCCAACACTCTAGCACCATAGAACTTTACCACACAGAGGGAGGCCATTCGGCCCATCGTGTCTGTGCTGGTTGTTTCAAAAGAGCGATCGATTCATCCCATTTACCTGCCCCTTTCCCCAACCCAGACCTCTGCAACCTCTTTAGATATCTGCCTCAAATTCCCCTCTGTCCCCTACCGCGCCCCATCCTGATATCCTGGTGAACATTCCCCTGAATAAACTTGGTCATTCACTCCATGGCTATTTGTGGGAACAAAGCCAACAAAACACTGTAACCATCCTGTCAAACAGTGTGAGTGACGTTACCAGGCGCTGCCTCATTATTATTATTATGATGATGATTTTTTTACCCACGGCTGTTTGTGGGACACTGCTGTGTGCAATTGCTGCTGCGTTTCTCCCACAAAATATACAGTCAATTCACTTTACAGTATATCCTGTGAAGCGCTTTGAGAGTTCTCGATGATTGATAAGGCACTGTATCAAAAAAGGATTATTATTATTTTTATCCACGATAGAAACGCATTCGGTTCCAACGTGAAACTCGGATTGCCCCACCCTCTTGGACGGAGGTTATTTATTTGTTTCCGCTGGCAACAGGGCATCGAGTAAATCAACAATGTTTCCCCCCCACACAATAAACATACCTTCAGTTCCTGACATTCTCCATACTTTGATCCAGACGGCCTTGATGAGACCTGATCAACACAAGAGATTAACACCAATGGATACAGTGCACTCACCGCCAGCAGAACAAACGGCTGTGTTACCTGGAACAAGACACCACTTACCAGTTGCTCCTCTGAGCAGGCTCCCTGCTCGGACAGGGGAAAGGATCCCTCTTGTTCGTCTTCAGGCAGCGAACCGTTCAGTAGCAAAGCCTGACGACAAAACATCGATAAATAAAATCTGGCATCAAATGGCCAGAAACCCACAGACCTGAACCACACAGAGACTTGTGGATTTTACACAACGGGAGTAGCTTTACAGTCACACCACAAACCCCAATTTCATTGAAAAGGGAGTTGGATAAATCCTTGTGAAACAATAACAGTGGAGTCCTGTAGCTCAGTGGTTAGAGCACTCACTTTGCAAGTGAGAGACCTGAGTTCAATTCCAGGCAGAGGGCGAAACCTTGGGCAAGTTTCCTTACTCCACACAGAGCCTAATAATAACCCTCCAAAACCAAAAACAATAATAAATTGGTCATTTTCAATCCACGACTGTTTGTGGGACATTGCTGTGCGCAATTGGCTGCCGCGTTCGCCCACAAATATGCAGTCAATTCACTTTACAGTGTGTTCTGTGAAGCGCTTTGGGACGTCCTCCCGACGTGAAAAGCGCTATATCAAATGCAAGGATTATTATTTAACAGTGAAAGGTTATGGGAGAGAGCAGGGAATGGGGTTAGAGAGCTCCAGTGGGGGAGCGAGCCCCAGCACAGATATGATGGGGGGGGGAGAGAGAGCAGGGAATGGATCAGACCCAAGTTTCACCTGAGCCTTTTTCCTGATCTACACACACAGGGTCTTTTTAAATTTAATTTTGAAAAAAAATCATTTATTATTATATATGAAGAAAACATCCTAAAAAAACACAAATACCTGTAAATAATAAGACATCACAATCTGTGTTTTTTTATTGAAACATTTGTTAAGATTTCATACTTGCAAAATGGAGATCATTTGCCTGGCTTCTTCCATCTCTTTTCCCAACTGATCCTGTTGATCCAGCAACTGATCTTCCCATTGATCATCATTCTCCTGCGTTTTTCCCGAAGTCATGGAATTCCAACCAGACGAGTTATTGTCTTCTGGGCAGAAAGAAGAGCTTTAATTGAAACTTCGAAAACAACAACAACAAACTTTTATATAGCAGTCCAGAATAATGGCAATCAATCAATCAGTCAAAGTAATCAGTCAGTCAATCCATCAAGTTCCAAGTCAAAGTGATGATGTGTAAAGTTGCTGCTCCCAGTAAATAATTTGTAAATAGATTATCCTTAGTTAATTTAATCAAATAAACTATTATTTATTAGTCATAATCACTGCATTTTGATTAGCGCCTCATCACGTCATTGAGACGTCTCAATCATTGTAAGTAAACCTCGGCTTACTTGGCCTTCTCTGTTGGTGGCTGTATACTTTGTGGGCAAAAAGCATTGTACATTAATATTAATTTATTATTCATAATAATACTTGCATTTGACAAGAGCGCCTTTCACATCGGGAAGAAAGTGCTTTGTAAGAATGCACGGCAGGTGTAGTGACTGTGTATATTGTGGGTGAACGTGGCAGCCAATTTGCACATAACAATAGCCCATAAACAGCCATGAAGTAACCAACCGATTTTATCTTGGAAAGGGAGGTGGAGGGGATTGTTGGCCTGGACACCAGGAGATGAGAGGAAATCCCTTCTCTTTTCGAATGGTGCCATGTCTTTAAGTTGTCCATCTGATCTTCACCTGACCACAAACAGAATGGTTCCTGCTTTCATTTCTACGCAGGAGAGTTTGTTTCTCTGCAGTTTGCTGTCAAAAATGATCTAGGATCGGGGTCAACTGAGCTTGCTGCAGGCTCCACATCTCATGTTGTGTTATTATGTCCTGTGACCACTCAGAAATGCTGGAGACCAGAGGCTGCACATCACATAGATAAAATACAACACTGTGTTCCATTTATCTATCCAACTCGAGATTGAGGAGAAAAACCTCAGCTTACTTAGCTCTTTTGGTGGCCTTCAAAGCAAATTAATAAGAAAAACATTGATAGTTTTGAAAAGTAGCTGACAAGATACAGTCACTACACTTCACAGTAAGTCAGTCTTATAAAGTGCTTTGAGACGTTGTCACATCAAGACCTACAGACTGATTTGACTTCTTCTTCCCCATAGCCTCAAACCTGAAGAATTTCTTAGCTCTTCAAGGCTTCTCTTCCTCCCACAATCTACAGGCTTTTAGCAAATCACAGAAATATACAACAACAAAATTACATTTATAGACAGCACAGAAGGAGGCCATTCGGCCCATCGCGTCTGTGCCGAAATACCCCAAGCACGGTGCTAGCTGAACAGTCCCACCTGATTTAGCTCACCGTCTCTCCTGCTCTTTTGAACCTGGTCTGCTCTACAGGCTCTGACCCTTTATTTAGGTTTCCCCGTAAAGAAAACATCATTTACATTTCACATTACAAGGTGTTCAAGATGATCCATATTGAGGTCACAAAGTAGGTGGGAAGGAGTGAGCAAAGGAGGGAGGGAGACTTGAGTTCATTGAAATCAGACCCTCAATGGATCAACACACCTCACCTTTTTCGGCAACATCCTGAATTTTGACACTGGGATTAATCCTCCTCCTTGCATTGGCGAATGCACCAGCAGCTGATGGGTAAAGCTAGGTTCCGTCTGTCGCAGTTCCACACCATTGATTAGGGAGCCTGGAGCTTTAAAGGCTAAACCAGCCATATTGACATCCTTTGCTCAAACAAGCCTGCGTCCCTCAAGAGCTAAATAAATAGGAGTTTGGTCATAACCACAGACCAATGAGGAATCCTTGGTGTTAATTGGAAGCATCTGTAGCTCCTTCTTTGCAAATGGGTTTCCACCTGGTTAGCCCAAACTGCAAGTTAGACTCACATGATCTTGCTGAAGACCACCAACTGAGATAGTTAAGAGAGGGAGATAGATACTTGGAAAGCAGCCATATTCAGGGATATGATGATCTGTTAAGTTATGATGTAAATGGTGGGACAGGCTGTGGAGGGGTCATTGGCCTGCTCTAATTCCCTCTCAACCCCATCACCACAGTCTGTTTGTGAGTGATATTATTTTAACCAGTTCTGATGAAAGGTCATCGACCTGAAACGTTAATTCGCTTCCTTCTCTCCATAGATACTGCCTGACCTGCTGTGCGTTCCTTGGCTGTGAAGCCTTGTTGTGTTTATCAGGGTCTGGGTGACATTGGTGATTCTGTGTGGCTCAGAGATGTAGGTGTTGCTGAAGAGAGACTCGGACGTGCTTCAAACATTCCATGTGAGGTGCCAGCACTGGGTGCTTGGAATACACTGAACAACCAACCTGTCCACTCCCTCCACTCACCGGCCTCCGGCCTGCTTCATGTCCCCTGCGTCACCCACCCCACCATTGGCTGACGGGCCTTCAGCTTCTCTGCTCCCACCCTCTGGAAATCCATCCTACATTCAACTTCGCTTCACCCCCTGCCTTGCTTCCTTCAAGACCCTCCTCTTCGATGGTGCCTTCAGCCACCCTCCCTGCCCTCACCCTCCCTGTCCTCCACAGCCTCCTGATCCCAACCACCAGCTCAGGTGCAAATCCCTGATTGCCTTGGAAAGTCCTTCTGCCGTGAAAAACGCTGTGTAAATGTCATACCTTGTTGTTTTGTGTCAGCTCGGACCGACTTGTCCAACAAGTGCAGACTTAGCTCAGAGACGTCACTTACGCTCAGTTACTTACATCCACCAGATGGAAAAACGGTAGCCAGCGCTCTGCGCTCTCGGACTTGCTGTCCTGACGGCACAAGACCGGACCTCACCCAGAGTCATCCTCGAGACCTGCCCAGGTGTGTTATCTCAGGACCCATTCAGGTTTCTGAGCCTCGGGACCTCTGGGACAGTGTGTGTGTGATCGGTTGTTGTACAAGTGGTAGTGTTTGTTACTCTAACATGGACTTTGTGAAGGTTCGTATTGCAATCTGGGATAATAATAATAATCCTTGCATTTGATATGGCGCATTATCACCTTGTTGAGTCGTCTCAAAGCGCTTCGCAGGATACACTGTAAAGTGGAGTGACTGTATTTTGTGGGTGAAATGACAATTGCGCACAGCAACGTCCCACAAACAGTCGTGGATTGAGTGACCAATTTATTATTATTACTAGGGGATACTATCCCCAGAAAAGTGATCCACCAATCAACTAACAACCTAGTTCCTACTTACTGCTGGGTAAACAGAGGCGTGTGTGTGGAGTAAGGGAACTTGCCCAATGGTTCGCCCTGCCTGGGAATCGAACCCAGGTCCTCTCCCTTGTGAGGCAAGTGCTCTAACCACTGAGCTACAGGATGGTGAGGAAACGTACCTTGGGAATGTTGGTAACATGCGCTGGGAATATTTCATGATCCTCTTCATTAGAGCTCCGAGTATGTGGCCCGACGGGTATGAATATGCGGTTTGCAAGCTGGAAAACTCAACTTACCATCCCCATTCTCCCATTCTTCTTTCTGGCTAGATAATTCCAAGCTTTCATCCAGTTCGCTTGAAATAGACTCCTGTTTTGTGCTGTGGATTGGGCTCTGTGAACTGACACTGAAAGGGAAAAAGGAAACAATAATTCCCAATTATTATAATAATAATCCTTGCATTTGATACAGAGCTTTATCATGTCATTGAGACGTCTCAAAGCGCTTTACAGGATACACTGTAAAGTTGATTGACTGTAGTTTGTGAGCAGCAAATTGCAACCACAGCAGTTTCCCACAAACAGTTATGGATTGAGACTGTTATTCCACAAACTTCAGTTTATCTCTGTTCAGGGGTCAGACTGGCTCAGTTGGTAGCGCTCTCATATCTGGGTTCAAGCCCCTCTGTCAGGGACTTTGAACTCACACAGTTCTTGGCTGATGCTCTGATTACAGTGTGTAAAACATTGAGTGCAACCTTGTGTCAAGATATAGCAATAACAAATCTTGTGTTTGTTAGAGCATCTGTATCAGGTCATCGAAACCTCTCAAAGTACTTTACAGGATTTTACTGTGAAGTGAAAGTGTATTCTCTACGATAACGCAGCAGCCAATTTTCACACCGTGACCCCCACAAACAGCCACAGAGTGAGTGACCGATTTGACTGGAGAGAAAAATGTCTCAAAGGGCCTCCAAACTGGGAGTGTTGGAGGGGTGAACCTGGCAGCTGATCTGCGCCAGCAACAACTTGCATTTACACAGCGCTCTTCCTGCAGGGCAGCATCTCAGAGCTTTCAACAGTGGCGAAGCCTGACACCCGCTCTGAGGGTGGGGAGGAGATGTCCGTAAGCATGTTCGAAGAGGATGGTCTTCAGTCATGATCTAGAAGAGGGGAAGGAGGGGGCAAGATGGGGGGAGAGTCCAAACCAACGTCCCACTAAAATAGGACTGGAATGAGTTGAACGACCATTTAATTGGTGAAGTTGGATTTTTTGTGACGGTTGCATTTTCCACCACCAGGGGGCGTCGTCAGTCTCTCTCACCCCCCTTCCAATTTTCTTCCCCCTTCACCCCCCTGGCACACCCCCCCGGCCACCCCAACCGGCCCCCACCTCCCCCACACACTTTCCGACCATCAGATTTTCCACAAGAATCTTGACTCACCGCAAAAAAAAAAGTTTCTCTGCAGCCACGAATTCTGTGGAAAAGTTTTATTGGCAAACTGTGAAAAGCCGTTATGTTAAACGTGGAATTTCGTAACAGCTCAGAACTGCGAGGTTCCCAGCTCTCGGCAAAAATATTCCCTTCACAAGGAAACTGCTGCTATTTGCATTTTTATCTCCAAAAATAGAACAGGTTATAGTTTTATAACTTATTTTATTTTGCCCGCAAAAACACAGTTAATTCACTTTACAGTATATTCTGTGAAGCGCCTTGAGACGTGATAAAGCCCTATATCAAATGCAAGGATTATTATTATTATTTCCAAAACACAGCCAGCTCTCTTTCCCCATGATTTGAATCTCATCTTCAAAGCTAATCTCTGTTTGTTTAAAAGGCAAATTCCTCTCAAAATAATAATCGTTGCATTTGATACAGCGCCTTATCACGGCTTCGAGACGTCTCAAAGCGCTTCAGAGTGTACTGTAAAATGAATTGACTGTATTTTGTGGGCGAAACTACACTTTACAGCAAAGAGCGTGACATGCTTTGAGGTGTTGTCCTGACATGAAAGGCACTGTGTCAAATGTGAGGATTTATTATTAATAATGTGAGGTTTGTCACCAACACTCCTTACAATGACAGTGATGAAAAATAGTGGATATTATTGCAAAATAAAAGTCACAAACTGCACTGAGATTCCAGGAGAAGAATCAGCGATGTTGTGTGTTGCAATATTTGTATTGAAAGCTCCGAACAGAAATTTCTACAACATCAACATTTGCCGTCAGCAACGCATATAATAATAATTATCCTTGCATTTGATAGAGCACCTTATCACGTCTTCGAGACGTCTCAAAGCACTTCACAGTAAAGTGTAGTGACTGTATATTTTGTGGGCGAAACGCGACAGCCAACTGCACACAGCAGCGTCCCACAAACAGTCGTGGATTGAGTGACTAAATTATTTTAAAGTTTACTTTGAAGGAGTGCAGTTTGCAAACTCAGCAGCCAATTTGTGCAGAGTGACGTCCCCACAAACAGCTGTGAAAATACCTGCCCAATTCCCTGTGTTCTTTTCCTGAACTGGAAAGAATCTCTTCCCCCCCACCCCCCAGTGAGGCCTGGCTTGTGAAAACCTCTCCTGGAGCCGTCAATAACATTCCTGTCTCTGTGGCTCTGGGAAAGTCAATGCAACACGGAAAAAGGAGTTAAAGCAGCTTAAGAGAAGATTTCCCTCTACCCCCATCACCTCACTAACAACATGATGGGCAAGTGTACCCAATCAAGATGTCACTCCCGGTTACGAATTACTCTCGTGGTTGACAATCCACCAAGTCCCACTAGCCCTCCCCATGACACTGTTTTGCGTTAAAATTTAAGTTACAGTAATAATAATAATATTCCTGGCATTCAATACAGCACCTCATCACGCCGATGAGACGTCTCAAAGCGCTTCACCAGATATGTTAGAGGGAGTTATGACTGTATTAAATGGAACAATTATGGAAAACTCTTAAATTGTCTTAATTTGAAAGCCAGTTTCTCTTTAAGAGATAGTTTTTATGGAGTGGCGTAGCTTAGCACTTAAGACGCTCACCTCACTAGCGAGAAGATCCGGGTTCAATTCCGGGAGGAGCGAAACTTTAGGTAAGTTTCTTTACTCCACACTGCTCGGTTTACCGAGCAACACGTAGGAACACGGTTGTTAGTTGTTTGGTGGATTGCTAAAAAAAATTGGTCACTCAATCCATGATTGTTTGTGGGACGCTGCTGTGCACTATTGGCTGCTGCATTTCGCCCACAAAATACAGTCACTCCACTTTACAGTGTATTCTGTGAAGTGCTTTGAGACGACTCAATGAGGTGCTGAGGCGCTGCATCAAATGCAAGGATTATTATTATTATTGCCCAGGGATACAGGGAGAAACAACTTCCCTTCTCTTTTACCAACAGTGTCACGGGATTTTCAACGCCCACCTGCACAGCAGACGGGACTCAGTTTATACATCACATGGGACGTGAAATACTTATTTGCATCTGCAGTCGTCTAAAGCCATCTGGCATGGCCGGGCTGAGCCTTTGCCGTCTCTTAGGCTTAAGAGTTCTCATCGGGAATAAAGTGCTGTGTTTCTCTGAGGCTCTGGGATGTGGCGATGGATCAGTCATCCCTGACAAAGAAGGTTCAGACAATGTGTCGGAGCTGGCTGGCTCTTAGCCAAGGGGTTTCACGACCATGATAGAGAGAGGGAGGGAGGGAGAGGAGGGTGGGGTGGATCGATGGTGGGAAGATTCTTATTCTGATGCAAAGCAGTCTGCAAGCGCAAAAAAAGCATTAGCCCATAGGCAGGCTGGCTGGCTGGTGCCTGGACAAGGAGGTGCCTGGACATTGGTGACATTAGGGGGAACAGAGATAATGGTGGTTCTTAGATCCTCCCCAAGACCCTTTAGGTATCGTCAAGAAGGGAAGAAGGAAAGGAGGATATCTATGCTGGAACAGCCTGAAGTCACCCGATCCTGTCAGATACTGGAAGCGAAACAGGAGCTTCCGTTGTTTAAGCTGTCCGACAGCCAACCATCCCATAATGAGCCCTGGGACCCTAGAGAGAGTCCAGAATATTAGAGAAAGGACAAAGCGGTGGAAGGAGAGATGAGGATTGGGGAGAAAATGCACATGCGTTGTTGTGGCCGGACTCCTGACAGTATAAAACTGGGGGATAATGGAGCGTCAATGTAGTCAGAGCAACAAAAGATGGTAAGAGAGGAGCCTGGTGATCATGTCTATATTATATTTGCAC